TGGTATAGCTCTAAAACTTAGTTTAATGGTTTTAAGACCAGCTAATTGTAAGGTTTTCTAAACTCTGAGGTTGTTCTCAGAGAGGCTGATTTCATCAATAGTAAAATACCAGAGTATAAACAGCACCATGTTGCACATGGATGGTGTCCCTGTTAGTGCTTTTGGTGCGCATTGTGGAGGCATAAGAAATCTTATATTACAACTTTGTGTTAATTTGCAGGACTGAGATAACTGCATAGCTCGTTACTATCATCATCAGGTATCATGCTCTACCTATGGTTGTCATCAGGTATCATGCTTTATCTATGATTGATTCAAGTCCCCCTTAACTTAAATTATTGCAAAAAATATCCAAAAATGTTAAACATAATAAAAAAAAATGTTAATTCATAACTCAGTGTTAATTTTATCCTTTGATTCACAAAGACTCCAATAGTCTCATGTTTTGTTTGGACATATGCTTACCCATCAATCAACCTATTTGTTGAGAAATTAGGTTTGAATCCTCTGACCATTCTTTTATGTGCTTCTACTTAGCACCTTTTTATTGAATAACATTTCTCTTTGTTTATTTAGCGTTCTTCTTTTTTTCAAGATTGCACTCTTTTAGATGTAATTTCTGACCATATTTAGCTAGCTCTTTCTTTTTATTCCTCAGCCAAAATTGTTGTTATTGGTGAGTTTATTGCTTGTCACACTGATTGGCTTAGTTCTAACACCACTGACCCTGCTTGCACTCAAGGTCACAACTTTTTCTAAAACTCAGATATTTATTTTTGTGTTTCGTTTTCTTCATAACCCTAATCACAAATCTAAAAAAACTACACCATAATATTTCTTTCACTCCTTGAATTGTGTCTTATTTCTGACACTAGCTTGTTATTGGTTTCTCCTTGTTCTTCTTAATGTGGTTCTGACCATGCAATAATCTCTATAAATCTTTTTTCTGTACTTCTTTTTTATACCTATTGCACTACTTAGTACTAACCTAAAGCTGACTGAAATTGATTTCATGTTGTTCATTCATTTCATTGTTGGTCCAAGTTAAGCCATGGTTTTCACCTTATTGTGCAGTTGCTAGAACTAACCATAATCATTTTTTTCATATTTTTTCTAAAAGAACAACTCTTTTGATTGCGAACACCTATTTATTATTGCAAGAAATCAATGTAAAATGGTGCTGTCTAATGTTAAGCTCCAATATTCTCATTTTACTAAATCTTGTATCTTATCTTAAAACTTAGGTTTTAGATACTTTAAAAAAAATCTTTACTAGAGAAATAAAAGGTAAGTTTAACCTTTTGTCTCTTATTCTTGGATATGATCTTATAATTTCTTGAAGGATATGGCAAAACTATTTTCAAAAAACATTTCTCATTCAATTTTTGAATCTAATGGCTATATTCTTCCTGCCTTACCAGTTAAACAGGTTAACCCATTGTTAGTCATTCAAATCTCTCTGGCTTCTGTTGCTTAAGTCATTTCTCAATTAAATTTTTATATGGTTTGTGGTCCAGAAAACATTTCTGTCATAGTCTCACAAGTGTTGTCTAGAACTTTCTTCAATTATCTCTAAACTATTTAATAAGTGCTTAATCTTATTTTCCTGCCTGCTGAAAAATGGCTTTTGTTGTTGCAATTTTTAAAAACTCTGAAGAATATTTTGACCTTTTCAACTATCTTCCGCTCAGACTTCTCTTTATTATAGAGAGAACTATGATCATCTCTTTTATAAAAGATATTTGAGTTTTTGTTCAACAAATTTGTAACATCCATCTTTAGTCTAATAGCTTACTCTCTGAGAATTAATATTCATTTCCATTTTCTCATTCTACAGCTGACATGCTAACTGCTATAACTGAAAGGTTTTACTGTGCATTAGATTGTGGCAGCAATACAATACAAAAGGTTATTGCTCTCTGACAATCAATAGCAATTGACATATCAAAAGCTTTCAATAAAGTTTGGTCTTCTTCATAAGCTCACTCTATATTTGATGTATTTAGAAACATTTTTGAGATTTTTAAATCATTTTTTTCTAATCACTTTCCTAATGTCATACTCAAAGGCTATCACTCCTCTTCCTTTCCAGTTACTTCTGGGGTACCTCAAGGTTCTATACTTGGTTCTGTTTAATTTTTAGTGTACATAAATGATCTTCCTGATCTTCTCTTTAAATCTAGAGTCTTAAATTTAAATTTGCTGACAACTCAAGTTTATCATGTCTTAAAAAAATGTCTCAACTTTTCGATCGCTTAGAACAGGCAGCCAATGCAGTGGTTTGTGAAATTTAACTTGAATACAATTTTTGCATCTGCTACGGTTGCTTCTGCTCATCATTTTTATACTCCTGATTCCATTCTCTACCTCTACAAATCTCTTATTTGCCCCTGTACAGAAAAATGTCATATATGGGTTAGTTCTTCTAATGATGCTCTTTCTTGTCTAGGCAAGGTCTAAAAACGCATTGTAAATGTAGTTGGACCTGCTTTATCTGTCAAGCTTGAGTCTCTCACATTGCAGTAAAGTTGCATCTCTTTCTTTTTTCTACAAAGACTCATAGTCGCTGGTAAAGGAAGTTGTTAGCTCTAGTTCAATAGTAAACAGACATCTGTTTTCTCCAAAAAACAGATGTCTGTTTACTATTGCTAGAAACCATTGTAAAAAGGTTTTATCTAACGCCAAAGCCCGCAATTCTCAGGTCATGAAATCTTGTATTTCATTACAAAAATTAGGTTCTCGTGACTTATGTCGAATTTTTAAAAGTATCAATAATAAGGGCAAAACTGCTATTCCACCTCTCTTGTATGGTTCAGACTTTGTCACCTCATCTACAGACAAAGCTGAATTGTTTGCTAAGAACTTTTTATCAATATCATCTCTTGATTCCACTATTTGCATTCTACCTGATTTAGCCATCAAACAGGTTGCTTGATTGCTTGACATTTGTATCACTCCAGCTTCTTTATATAAAGTGATTTCCTGCTTAGACTCTTCTACAACTTGTAGTTCAGACAACATACCTGTTGTTGTCTTGCAAAAGTGTTCTTCAGAGCTGTTATCCATAATTTCAAAACTACTTAACAAGTTCTTATCAGAGTCTGCTAGAAAGCGACATCTGTTATCCCTATTTTCAAAAATTCTGGAGAGCGATCTGACTCATCTAACTACCGTTCCATTAGTCTTCTTCATATCATAAGTAAGGTTTTTGAATCTTTAATTAATAAAAGTTTAATCTCTCATCTTAAATCTAATAACTTACTTTCTGATCATCAATAAGGATTTTAATTTTTTTGTTCTACAGCTGACTAACAGTAATAACCGATGGGTTTTATTGTACATTAGACGTACGTTAGACAGAGGTGGAGAGGCTAAGACTATTGCTCTCGACATTTCTAAAGCTTTTGATAAAATTTAGCATGCTGGTGTTCTCTAAAAGCTTTCTTCTTACGATGTATCTGGTAACATCTTTAAGATTATTGAGTCCTTCCATTCCAATTGTAGTTATATAAAATTTGTCCTCAATGGAAAGAACTCTTCTTCATATCCTGTAATTTCAGGGGTTTTTCAAGGTTCAATCTTTGGCCCTATAATCTTTTTAATTTGCATTAATAATCTTCCAGATAATCTCTTATCTAAGGTAGCATTGTTAGCTAATGGTACTATCATTTATTCTGGTCATGATAAGAAGCCAACACTCTCTGATTGCCTGGAGGGGGCATCTGAACTTGAAAAGGATCTCACTTCTGTTACAAGATGGGGCTCACAGTGGCTGTTGAACTGTAATTTAGATAAAACTCAATTTTTTTCAGCCAATAATTATTGCAATAATCTAGATCTTCCTATATTTATGAATGGTAATGTTCTCAATGAGTCATCTACCTTTCATCTTCTAGGATTAACTCTTTCTTCCTATCTTTCTTTGAAACTGCATATCAAATCGATTGCAAAATTAGCATCTGCTAATCTTGCATCTCTTTACTGAGCTTGATACTTTCTTACTCCAGATTCTATTCTCTATCTCTATCAATCTCAAATCCGGCCTTGTATGGAATATTGTTGCCATATCTGGGGCGAATCTTCTAATGATGCCTTTTTTCTTTTACACAAGGTGCAAAAACGCATTGTAAACATAGTTAGACCTGCTCTTGCAGCCAACCTCCAACTATTATTACATTTTCGTAATGTTGCTTCTCTTTCTCTTTTCTACAAATACTATAATGAGCACTGCTCTAAAAAGCTAGCATCTTTTTTGTGCCATTTTTTAAAACTCATTCTTGTGTTATTCATCGTTCAATTAAGTATCATCCTTTTTCTGTGATTGTTGTGTGTGCATCAAAAACTCTTATTTGTCTAGTTTTTTTTCTCGAACTTGCTTTCGTGGCTCATACAATTTGCAATCTTTTAAGTCGTCTGTCAATCGTTATCTTGCTCTACAATCTTCATCTTTTCTCTTCCAGTAACTCTAACTCTAATAGTGGTTGTTTGCAGCTTGTTGGAAACGAACATGTCAAAAAAAAAAAAAAAACTAATAATAAGTGATTAAACATTATTAAATTCAAAATAATTATAAGATATAATTTTTCAAATTTATTGAGATAATTAATGAAATAATAAATGGAGTAATTGAAATGAATTAACTTGATTATTTTGACTTAAAAATGAATATTTTGTCACTAGAAATAAGAAGGCAAAACTTGACCATGAGGTAAAGGCTTATAGTTCATGTTAAAAAAAAATTATTTTCTGAATTTTTATGCATTATTAATGTAATATATAATGCAATTTTGTAAACATTTTTCTAATGAATCCTTCCTCTACAAAATATTATAATAAAACTTTTGATAGTATTTGTTTAAGATTTGTTAGTTTAAGAAAAAAAGTTGTATAAAAATTTGCTTATACTAACTTTTTTAAATAATATTTCTAATTTGTTTTTAAAAAGGTACTTTCACCTTGTCCATTTTCTTTTTACTTATTTAACATTGTTAAATATTTAGTTCTTTATGATTGCATGGTTAGATCCTACAATGTTTCGATTGTTCAGAGTTGCACGTCTACTTAAGCTTTTTAAAAGACAAACTGGCGTTGAAGTTATTTTGTGGACACTTTTAAAATCTCTTAAAGTAAAAAATTTTTAATTTTAATTATTTTTAATTATCTTAACTTTTGTTAAGTAATAATTATTTTTAATTATAATTTTATAATTTTAATTTTAATTTTTAATAATTTTTGTATATTTAAAAACTGAAAATTTGTAAAAATTAATTAGTAAATAAAAATTTATAAAAATGTTATGTTTTTTATTAAAATAGTTATTTTCTTTAGAATTTAGCTTATGTTATTGTATTGATTCTTATTACCACTTATGTTTATGCTATCATGGGAATGCAGGTATAAAAAAGCTTTTGTTTTAAGTTATGATTTTTTTATATTATATATATATATATATATATATATATATATATATATATATATATATATATATATATATATATATATATATATATATAAATATATATATATATATATATATATATATATATATATATATATATATATATAGCGTTTAAAGGCTTGTAAACATGCTAAATAGTATTGATTTTATAATATTTTATTATAATATTTTATATTATAATATTATATTATAATATTTTAGCACTTACTTCCACAAGTAACTTCAGTAACTTCAATATTTTTATATACTAATTAAAAGGTTTTCATGTTTATTATCATACTTTGAATTAATATTGATGATTACTTTAACTAATTTTAAAATAACAATTTTTAATGATTTCAAAAATTTTCGTGCATAGACAAATTTTTCAAATTTTTTACAAAAAAATTACTTGATTTTGTTAATAAATTATTTGGAAACTTGTTTTGTAAGACAGCACAGCTTTATGGAGCCAATAAGTCTGCTGACAGATAGAGATTTGAAGAGAGTTATGAATTCACTGGATTCACAAAGATTTGAAAAAAGACCATACAAAGCAACATATTATCAAGATAAAAAACCTGTGATACTTAGCAACAAAAACCTTGTTTATTAAAATGAACAATTAAAACGTTTTTATAGAATGAATTGTAATAATTAAACTACTTAACATTTTCATGCAAATCAAAATTAAAAGCTAAATTGATTTCCTTGAAAAATCAAAATACCCAAGAAAAATATACAAAAAAAAATCTAAAGTGGAGTCCAAAAGTGAACTAACCAACAATGTTCAAAGTTTCTTTTTTTTAGTGATAAAAACTCAATTCCCATTGATGTTTGCATTAATATAGTTGACTTAATACCTTGTAGAAACAAAACCATTCTTAATTGTAAAAATAATGCTACAAAACAGTAATTGATGTGATTTTGTATCTCTATTAAATTTTGATTAAATATTGTTGAAAAATTTTAACTTTTTAAATATAAATATTTTGTCCGCAAATTTTTGAACTCATCAAAAATTGTTATTTTTTTAATTAAATATAAAAACTTTTATTAAATAATAAATATTAGTTTAAAACAAAAAATTTTAAATAATATTTTAATTGGTATATAATATATTTGATGTATATATATATATATATATATATATATATATATATATATGTATATATATATATATATATACGCATATATATACATATATATATATATATATATATATATATATATATATATATATATATATATATATATATATATATATATATATATATATATATATATATATATATATATATATATATATATATATATATATATATGTATATATATATATATATATATATAATATATATATATATATATATATATATATATACATATGTATATATATATATATATATATATATATATATATATATATATATATATATATATATATATATATATATATATATATATATATGTATATATATTAAGGTCCTGTGAAGCTTCGAGATTTCAAATTGAATCAAAAATATGGTCTGAGATACAATTCGAAAATTTTTAAAAATCAAATCCTAACTTATTTTGTTTTTGTTGTGGGTATTTTAGATATTTTGCGCTTTGCCGCTATCAAAACAAGGTTATTTATCCTTAAATACCTTTTTAATCAGTCATTTAAAAGGTTAACCAGGGCAAGAAGCATCAATAAAGAGATTATATAATTGCTTTTTTTTAATTTTATATCGAAATAAATATTATTAAATAAAAAATGCGAGTAACAAGAAAACCAATTTTAATAGATGGCACAAGAGACACTAGCTCTTTAGAGCAGTGCTCCTTATAGTATTTGTAGAAAAGAGAAAGAGAAGCAACATTACGAAAATGTAGCAATGGTAGGAGGTTGGCTGCAAGAGCTGGTCCAGCTATGTTGACAACGCGTTTTTGCACCTTGTTTAAAAGAGAAAGAGCATCATTAGAAGATTGGCTTCAAATATGTCTGAAGTATTCGATACAAGGCCAGATTTGAGAATGATAGAGATAGAGAATAGAATCCAGAGTAAAAAAGTGTTGAGTTTGATAAAGAGGTGCGACCTTAGCAGATGCTAATTTTGCAATGGATTTGATATACAGTTTCCAAGAAAGATCAGAAGTAAGAGTTAATCCTAGAAGATGAAGGATAGATGACTCATCAAGTACATTATCGTTCATAAATGTTGGAAGGTCTAAATTATTGCGATAATAATTGGCTGAAAAAAACTGAGTTTTATCTGAATTAAAGTTCACCAGCCACTGTGAGCCCCATGTTGTAGCAGAAGTGAGATCCTTTTCAAGTTCAAATGCTTCTTATCGTGACAAGCATAAATGGTAGTATCATCAGCGAACAATGCTACCTTCGATATGAGCATATCTGAAAGATCATTATGAAAATTAAAAAGAGTATAGGGCTAAGGATTGAAAGCCTCTGAAGTTACAAGATATGAAGAAGAGTGCTGTCTATTGAGGACAACTTTTATACTAAGATTGGAATTGAAGGACTCAATAATCTTAAAAATGTTACCAGATACACTGTAAGAAGAAAGCTTTCAGAGAACACCAGCATGCGAAACTTTATCAAAAGCTTTAAAAATGTCATGAGCAATAGTCTTAGCCTCTCCACCTCTGTCTAACATACAATAAAACCCATCGGTTATTACTGTTAGAAAACCAGTTGTATAACAAGAAGATCAAAATCCATATTGATGATTAGAAAGTAAGTTATTAGATTCAAGATGAGACATTAAGTGTTTGTTAATTAAAGATTCAAAAGCCTTGCTAATGATAGGAAGAAGGCTAATGGGACGGTAGTAAGGTGAATCATATCGCTCTTCAGATTTTTTGAAAATAGAGATAACAGATGCTGCTTTCCAGCATACTAGAAAACAAGACTCTGATAAGCACTTGTTAAACTGTTTTGAAAGAATAGACAACAGCTCCGAAAAACAATTTTGCAAGACTATAACAGCTATGTTGTCCGGTTCACAAGCTGTAAAAGAGACTAAGCAGAAAATATCTTTAGATAAAGAAGCTGAAGTGATATGTCAAGCAATGGATCAACCTGTTTGACTACTAAATCAGGTAGAATGCAACTAGCGGAATAGAGAGATTATATTGATGAAAAGTTTTTAGCAAACAATTTAGCTTTGTTTTTAGGTGAGGTGACAAAGTCTGAACCATATAAGAGAGGTGAAATAATAGCTTTTATTATTGATACTAATAAAGATTCTCCAGAAGTCACAAGAGCCTAGTTTTTTGATTTCATTTTGTGATGAAGCACAAGATTCCATGACCTGTGAATAGCGAGCATTGGCTTTAGACAAAACTATTTTACAATTGTTTCTAGCAGTAGTACTGATAGATATGAAAGTAATAGTTATAAATGGAAAATGCAGCAGCAGTTGAGAGGAAAACCAGCGTTAAGAGTGAGGTTGACTGGGAAATGTTGAAAGGACTTAAAAGATTCCATGCCAGACCAAATCCTCGAAGTTGTGTAAGTAGTACATTTGTCAGCAGGAAGGCAAAACAAGGGCCATCAGGAAGAAAATTAAAGAAAAAGTCCCAGTCAGCTTTACAGTTGTTGTTAGAGGTATGATGATAGGTATATTTAGATGATGAAGAAGAACGAGATAATAGTTTTAGAGAGATCAAACTGTAATCAGAATCACCTAAGGGTGAATGTGGAGAAACTTAGCACTGACTAGGATCAGAAACAAGACATTAGTCAAGTAGAGAAGGTACATGAGTCGGGTTGTCTGAAAAGTGAGTTAGAAAGTTGACTATTTTAGTTAAGGATTGAGAAAGGCAAAAGTTATGGGCCTTAACACCATCAGAGTCACTTACACTAGAGCTAAGCCAGAGCCATGAGTATTAAAGTCACCAACAACAAAAATATTGGTTGATTAATAAAGAGAGAGGGCTTGGTCAACTTGATCTGAAATAACATCAAAAAGAGTGCAGTCTTGAGATGAAGGAGAGCAATATAAAACAAAGAGAAAGGTGATAGAGTGAAGTGGTGCTAAACAAAAAGCACATAAAAAATAGTCTGTGGATTCAAACTTATTTTCCAAACAAATGATTGAATTCTTACAAATGTAAATGCAAAGGCCAAGCATGTGACTATTGGAGTCTATAGGAATTTAAGGAAAATAACCATCGGCACTTAGATCACAAGATGAGACAGTTGAACTCAAATTAATCTCACAAAGAACAAGTAGGTCTGGTGAATTTTGCAAGAGATAAGATTCAACAGAAGAAAAGTTACTTCGAAGACCACGAATATTAGTGAATGATAAATTTAGAGAACTTGGTAATGAAAATGGTTTTTTATGTTTTATAGTTTTTGGTACTTTATTCATTTTTAAATTTGTTAAAGAACTTGACTCAAAGCATAAACCGTACTCAGTAAACTGTTTATTAGCCCAAGCAATTGCTTCATTACTATTATTAAACTCTTAGCCGTAACAAAGGGCTCTAAATGTAGCCTTGACAATGCACAGCAAAAGTACAAACAGGGGCACCATCCATGCGCAATATGGCACTGTTAATACTTTGATATTTTTCAGCTGTTGATGGAATCAGCCTCTCTGAGAGCTACCATAGAGTTCGGGAATCCTGACTACCAGCAGGCCTCAGAACCATAAAATTGAGTTTTAGAGCTGTACCCTTATTAGGAGATGATAGAATGAGTTGCCTAATCATAAAAACTGAGACACAAAAAAAAACCATGTATTGAGTCAAGAAGATCCACCATTTTATATCCTAATCTGGAAGCAATGTATTCAAAACACGTCTACCCCAGCCTAATAGATGAAGAAGGGGTGCAAAGCTGGTCAACAGAATCTGTTTGCCTCTTAAGTCTTTGCCTAGGAGGCTTTCTTCAAGACAATAGCAAGATGCATTTAACATTTGCCTAAAATGAGTATTTTTATCGAGA